GGTTAGCACAATTTGTCTTTGTCACCTTTCCTGTGGGATGAGGGCAGAGTGTGTGTGTGTCTGTGTGTCCCCACACCGTGTACGCGCTGACCTGGGACCTCCCGGCCCCTCTCCTTTGCTTGCAGAGGCTCTTCTCGAGCAGGCCATGATCGGGCCGTCACCGAACCCTCTCATCTTGTCCTACCTGAAATACGCTATCAGCTCCCAGGTAACGACACTCCCCGCGCCGCAGGCACTGCTGGGTGTCGCTTCGCAGCCCCAATTAGCAGGTGGGCAAAGAGACCGGGCTGCGGAGTCGGTGGCGGGCAGACACCCCAAATCTCCCCTCTGTGCCTCCCCTGGGCTTGGGCAGGCGGTGGAGGGCTCAGCGCGTGCTTGAGGCAGGGATGTTTCTGTAAATAGCCTCTGCCCATCGCCTGGCTGCAGGCGGGGTGGGAATCCTTGCCCTCCGAGAGCCTTTGTGCTTGCTGTAAGCTCTGCGCTTTCTTAGCGCGGCATTTAATATCGTCTAAAGTTTGTGTGAAACAAATCAGCTATCACCTAAAAATGTCTGTTTGGATTTGTGCCGGCTCAGCGCCCCAGCCCCGTCTGCGGTGACAGGCGGGGGCCCTGACCTTGCCGTTCCTCAGCAACGAGCACCGCGCTGGCAAACATCACCCGCTAACACGACACTGCACCGGGTTTGTTTTGGTTTTGTTTGTAGATGGTGTCTTACTCCACGGTCCTGACGGCCATCAGCAAGGTACGGCTCTGACAGGTGCTGTCTGAGGTTTTTCCCTTTACCTATGACCCACGTACCCATTTCCCTCCCCACAACTCTCGCCAAATATAGGTCAAGTGGAAAACGACATCCCCTGCTGAATCAGCAGCAGTCAGACAGCGCAGATTAGCGCCCGAGTCCTTCCGTGTCCCCCTGGGGACAGGCTGCCGCCGTGCCTGGCGGGTCCCGCTCTGGTTTCGGGGACAGCGGCGGGTGTGAAAGCCTCATCCTTCCGTCCTGTGGGGCCTGGCAGGCTCCTGCCCCGCAGCGCCCTGCGTGTAAACCACGCCTCGGCTGCCGGAAACCACATCCCTCTGTGGCCGGGGGGGG